TTCTCTCTCTCTCCGTCTCCTTTCCTCTCTGAAATCAATAAAAATATATTAAAAAAAAAAATTCGCACTTCTTGCCCTGCTTTTTAAATAGGGTAAAGGCAGAATTAGCTCGATTTTCATGAAGAAAATATAAAGTAGATTTTATTTAAATTAAGATTTATTTGCTGTGAACATAGGGGCTCTTAGTACAAGAGTTTACTCTCCACAGCCAAATCTCGCAAAGACAGCCAACACAGCAAAAAGTTCTCTTTGAGAACTTCTATTAGTTTACTTAAGCCTAACCCAATAGTCTACAAAATAGGGATAGAAAGATCTTTTTTCAAAGGTAAAAAACAGAACTTTATTTCAGACTAAAGAACATGCAAATACTTTTCCTTTAGAGCATTAGGATATAAACCAAACTCAAATTATTATATAGAAGCTTATGGTTGTGAAAGGTGTATGGGTGTTGCATAGTTGTCATACTTCTATAATATAAAAATAAATAAATGTATTGTCTGCTTACCAGCTTTTCAAATAGGAATTTTCTTTTTCCTTTAGCAGAATACTGCTAATTGCTATGTCTGTACATTTCCTCTTACTATAAAAAATATTTGATAAAATCATTCTATGAAAAAAACCTTTTCAAGTAACACTGCTGCAGTGCCTTTTCAAAAATGTGAAGCTTTTGAAATTGGGAGAATGCTAGTTTTTATGTGCTAAAGAGAAAGGATAACAAGAGAAACAGTGGCTCATGTGACCACATCTTAGTCCCATGAAACAAGTAAGAGCAGAGCATAGAAATACAGAAAGCAAAGAGCAGGATAAAGGCCTTGCCTCTCTATTTTTAACTCTAGGCCAAGTAATTACTTAAGAGGGATACATAGTAAAGGATATTATAACCTCCATTTTATTACTTGTTTACACCTACACAATTGGTATGTACTTTTGTGGCTAGTAAATTAGTCCCCATTTGGGATACAAAGCTAGACTTAATGAGTACTAGTAAGTCTACTTACTTAACTCAGTAGTCTATGCACCTGTGTTGATGTTGTTTTTATTCTTTTAGTCTTTCCATTTACAGCCCACTGGGACTCCCGGTACCTACCTGCTTCAGACAAGCTCAAGCCAAGGCCTTCCCCTCACTCTGACTACTAGTCCCACAGTAACCCTGACGGCTGCTGCACCTGCTTCTCCTGAACAGATCATCGTTCATGCTTTATCTGTATGTTACCTTACATAAACTCTTTTGGTGTTCAAATTTTTGTAGAGAAGATTGGCTGACAGATGTCACCATGTTTTTCTAGTTTATAATACTATGCTAGCTCCCATGTGCCTTCCATAACAAGCTGAGGGGAGGGGGATTTATTTTGAGCTCGGTTCAAGTATTTGAATACCTGTTAGGGACCAAGATTAGTTTATATAAGAGCCCAAACTAATAGTCCAATTATTTAAACAATTCTCCCTATCACTGTTGTCCCAGGAGCAATATTTTACATCTTCATTCTGCCTTCACTGGGGTAAATCCCTCACTCCCTGTGTCTCTTTACATGTGATGGACTTAGATTAGGGGAGTAGGAATATTAGGAGAGCAAAGGCCCATGTGGGCAAAGAACAGGGTTTCTAGAAAAATCGTGGTAAGAAAACTGCAGTTCCAGAAGTGAGAGGTGGGGGTGAACAGTAGCCCATATTAGCACCTATAAATGTCATTTGTTGCCTGTAACTTGAATATGATAGGTACTTTTTCATTTTGCCATTGATCTTTCTTTTTTAACATTTTATAGCCAGAGCATTTGTTGAACACAAGTGACAATGTCACAGTGCAGTGTCACACACCGAGAGTCATCATTCAGACAGTTGCTACAGAGGACATCACTTCTTCCATATCCCAAGCAGAACTGACAGTAGATAATGATATGCACTCATCAGATTTTCCTGAGCCTCCAGATGCCCTAGAAGCAGATACTTTCCCAGATGAAATTCATCAGCCTAAGGTGACTGTAGAGCCATCATTTAATGATGCTCGTGTATCCAAATTCAGTGACCAAAATAGCACAGAACTGATGAATAGTGTTATGGTCAGAACAGAAGAAGACCTTAAACAAGAGGAAGAATCACGCTCTCATTTGGCCTGTACTTACGTTACTGAGGTAAGTTATACTTAAGTGAACAGCCTAGGTGTTCTTGCCTTGAGCTTCAAACCTGCAGTTTGGAAAGAGCTTAGAAATAATTTACTGGGTGATATCCTGTGGTATCGCTTTTCTTTAGACACAAAATAAAGTGCAAACCCGTACCTCTGACTGCACAAGTATCAGTCAACCAGCAGTGTTGCTCTGTCTTACCTCTGTCCCTCACTAAATAAAAGCATACCCTTGGAAACATTTGTTGGAATCTATGGAAGCACTTTCCTGAGGGTAATTAATATAGATCTTTATGGTTTAGCTTAGGAACCTCATGCCATAGAACAGCATTATTTTATAATCAGGGGACCTATAACTGAATTGGTTCTTTTGTCCATTTTAAGACCTTAACTTTCATTTCTTTATATTTTAAAACTAGAGGCTCGATGCACAATTCGTGCACCAGTGGGGTCCCTCAGCCTGGCCTACAGGATCGGGCCGAAACCGACTCTCCAACATCCCCCGAGGGGTCCCAGGTTGCAAGACAGCGCAGGCCAGGTCGAGGCACCCCACTGGTGCACGATCAGGGCAGGGAGGGACCACAGGAGGTCTCCAGGGCATGTCCATCCTGTCTTGCTTCTTGCTCAAGTCCTGATCGGCCAGAACCCAGCAGCAAGCTAACCTATGAGTAGGAGTGTCGGCCCTCTGGTGGTCAGTGCATGTCATAGCGACTGGTCAACTGTTGACTCTCTTCCCCCTGGTGGTCAGTGCCCATCATAGCGAGCGGTTGAGCGGCCTTAGCATATCATTAGCATATTACACTTTGATTGGTTGAACGGACCACTGGACACTTAGCACATTAGGCTTTTATTATATAGGATGGGATACTTGAAAGTTAAACATGTTTGGGATCTTAAGGAAAACTAATAAGGAATTTGAGTCAGAATCTCTTTTTTTTTTTTTAAATTATTATTTAGGATTTAGAGTCTCCTACTATAGAAGAACAAGTTGGTCAAACAACAATTGATGATGAAACAATACTTATTGTTCCTTCACCACATGGCTTTATCCAGGCATCAGATGTTATAGATACGGAATCTGTCTTGCCATTGACAACACTAACAGGTACTGTGATACATCTCCATCATATGCCTGGTAAGTCTTAAGGAGACAAATCAGGCAGATATTTAATTCAGTTGTTTTAGTCTTTCCTGATCCAACAATGAAGATTAGTCTTCTGGTTAAATTTTTCACTTTGGTAGAATACTTACTCTAGATTCTTGACATGGATTAGGAAATATACATGTTATATACATTTAAGACTGATTTAAATTTAACTCATTACAGATCCCATATTCCAACATCATCGAGAAGAATCAAATATCATTGGGTCATCTTTGGGCAGTCCTGTTTCAGAAGACTCAAAGGATGTTGCAGATTTGGTAAACTGTCATTAGGTAATTCTTAGAAACAGGTAGTTCAGGCAAAGAAGCCACACTGTTAATTACAACATCCCCAAAGAAATAGGAGAAACCCCCAAGAGGCTTAACTTACCATTCCTCTGGCTTTTAAATACATACAGTGCTTAAGCCAAGAACAGTGTTGCTGCTATGACTTTTTACCTCCTTTAAATATATCATCTGCGGTCTAGTCTTAGGGAAGTATAGTATGGGAGGTCTTAAATACATAGATCCCTGTGATAAGTGCCATCTGTTAGCAGGGAATTTCATTCACTTCAGCCACTGAGAAAAGTTTTAAATCACCAAAGTTTAACTACTGTGTTTTAGAAATGGCAATATTCATCTCTGATGATCAGATATGAGTCTCTGTCCAGTCCCAAGTAAGCCTGTTTATATTTCATCAACATGGTCTGGAGTTACCAGTGACCTTCTTCAAAAAGATTATCATTAGCTTGAGACTGACCAGCATACAAGGACACAGACCTAGGAGGTGATTGTACTGCAGTTTCCTTTGGTTTTACTGATTGCTGGCATTGGGAGCTGATTCAAGCTGGGTAGAGAAGAAAGCATTAAGAGAGAAAAAATATTCACTACAGGTTTTTTTTTTATTATTATTATTATTACTTTAAAGGGACTATAAATGAGGGTAGTGTCAAAACTCAGTTTTCACTTCTTCAGAACCCACTGTCATCAGTTTACAAAATTAGCACTTTGAAGTAAAATGAAATGGGAAGGAAGTAAAGTTCCCTGTCTTATACTACGACCATTTCTTACATGTTTTACAATATAAAGTATCCAGAAAATAATTAAGGAGGTTATCAGAGTTTGCTGTTCACTTAGTGCATTAGCTGGTGAGGGTGTGATAAAATGTCTCCCTCTCGGGCAATTTTAAAAAACAAAATTTGCTTCTGTAATGAAATGGAACAAATCAAGAGTCATCCCTGTACTAGAGAGGGTTAAACCAAAACTAGCCTCTTAAAGCTTTAACAAATATGACTCTATGGAAAAGTAAACAAAAAAAAACAACCTTGTATAAATTATTTTATTTATTATTGTAATTAGATCTTCACAATCAAATTGTCTTTTCACCGTCTCTGTTTTGTTAATGTGAAAACAAATTGTAGTTTTAAGCAAGAGTTGGTTGCCTAGGGAACAATAATTGTATATTCAGTTTAACAGAAATAAAAGAATATTTGTCTTAAAATGCAAGATTGTTTGTTACATAGCCTTTCGCCATGCCATTACATTATAAAAAATTTCAATTTCAAAAGTGAAAATTACTTGTGCTATTTGAGCTTTAAGGGTTGGAATGTTTAAGTGCAACATCAGCTCCTTAAAAAAGCAAAGTGATCTATATAGTCTCCCCTGCAAGAGGGAATTTAGATTTACAGTTAACATGAAAATCATGTATCAGACTTGTGCAGGAGATTCTTCAGCATACCTTATCCAGCTTTTATTCACAGTCCTAATGTATAGCTTTGAAGAGACCTGGTAAGTATTTTCTCCTTGGCAGCCTCACTTTCCCACATCATGGAAGTACAGGTTCGCACATATACATAACATGGTGATAGAAAATAAGATATAGTAAATTAGATTTCTAAATTTCGGTTCTAAGTCTCCTTGTCGATACCAGTAGATCTAAAAGAAGAAGAATTAAATAAAAATTTAAGTAATAGCCATTGGTTCAAGTATTTAAAATACAACTAATTATTTTTCCTCTGGATGAGACAGATTTTGTATTAATGCAGCCAGAATTTAATTCTCATTATCATTCAAGTAGTACCACCAAGTTTCCACATCCAAAATCATACTGTTCCTGTTTGCTCAGTTAACACTGTTCTATGTTTAAATCAACAGCATCCCCCAATGATTTGGCAAGCATTCAAAAATGTGTACCATTTGGATGTTTTAAATATAGGGTGGGCAAAAGTAGGCTTGCAGTTAAGAGTATGCCAGAGTTTATTCTTTTGTATATTTTCCCATACAAACAAACCTATCTTTCCCCACCCCTTCATATTTAAGTAAAAAATACAATTCCTTTAGATACTGGAAGGGGCAACAACTTTTTAATTCATATACAATTCAGACTGCCAGTACAAAATTGGGCTTACATATGCATGTATTTGGTTTAAACTAAATCACTGTTAGTCACTTTTGGCTTTAAGCTGGGGATGGGAGGAGAGCATCTCTGGTAGCTTTGTTCCAAAGGCTCCTAAAGTGAGGTGGCCAGTCCTCCCCTCAGATCATAGGACAGCAGAATTGGTGCATTAGAAGTTTAGAGATCCTGTTTAATCTTAAGTTAAATGAGCATATTGCTATTATGAGTCAAGCCCTATGTGAGTCAAAACAAATACTCTTAATGGGTTTACTGTGTTGATTCTGCCTCTCATCAAAGGAAATAAAATAATAACCAACTAATGAATGACTGAACACTTGGCAAATACCCAACTGAGGCCTATCACCATCTTTCTCACCTCAAAGAAAAGCTTTGTAGTAAAATTGAAACTGTAGTGACAAGGATACAACTGCAGCTCTAGGTTCCCCTGGAGAATTACTTTCATTTGGGGAGGTAAGCACAGAAATTAAAACAGACTTTTTAATTATTAGAAATAAATCCAGAGTGCTAGTGCTGTATCTCTTCCTGTAAGAGCAGTAATGGCCTTTCCCAAAGCCTGCTGAGCCCAGTATGCAGTTCTTGAAGGAAGATAAGTAAAGTTCAACAAATTTTTGGCCACCTAAGTCTTTTTAAGTATTTCTTTTTTTCCATTTTTTTAGCACCAAGGGAAGTTTCTCTTTAAGGTTACAACTTTGGGATTTAAGAGAAAAGGAATTCAAATTAAAAAAGAAAACCCTGCAATTAATATTGAGAATTGGGGTTGTTAGAGATACCCTTTCAGATAGACCCAGAGCTGGGCATTTGTCCAGGCACAGCAACCTTCAGCCCTCCAGGATATTCATTTTCAATTCTAAACAGTACTCACAAGTATGCAGGCAGTAATACTACTCAAAGAGATGCAGACAGCAAAAAATATATTCAATGGTTTTGGAGGTGGTTGAGGGAAAACAAAAGCACTGATCAGCGTTACCTGTATGAAGAGAAATTAGGCCTTAGGAGTAATTTGGTTAGACAATGTAATATAACATATACTTCACATTGTAAAATGATATCACCAGATTTGCCTTATGGAATGTTAATTTCAATGTAATGTTTAATAAAATACTTGCTTGACTGTTACTTCATTTAGTACTTCCTCTTTCTTTTTCCTCCTTTATGAAAGGAGACAAAACAAAGAGCAGTATAACTAGCTAACCTTGAAATAATCTCTTAACAAAGATTAAAGAGCATCTTAGCCTCATTCCTAGGATTAATAATTACATTGGGAAAAGTTCTAACCTTTTTGTTATTTTGAATACTCCCAACAACAAAAAATATGACAAATATGACCAAAACTGTTTTTGCTTAACATTTTGAAAAATATTGAAAGGGATTTTTAATGCCCTATGGAGATCTATTTCTACCATAGATACAGCAATCTATCTATTCTTTTTCATTAATAAGCCTTGTTAACAAATTGCCTAAAATTTTCTTACATTTAATGAATGCGCCACAGAAATGTCACTCTCAGACTATGGGAAATAGCTTTGTTTTTTTATTTACTGTGATAGCACCAACCTATATTATTCAGGATGAAAAATTGCTGTGTAATATGACCAAATATTTTTAACCCAAAATATGATGAATGTGCTTTAAGGAACAAAGTAAATTTAAGATATTAACAAAAAAAGTGCTGACCTGTAGGGTATGTACAGAAGGGAATTGTGGTAGACACTGACACATTACTTATTTACTAGGCATACTCAGAAAAAATAAGTTATTTGACTTGTACTATTTCACATATCCAACTATGTATGCAGGTGGAAACCAATTTAGCTACTCAAGTTACTAATTGCAATTTTAAGTGGTAATAAAATTGAAAAGTCTTAATGTAATTATGACTGGAATGCTTCACGTGCTGATATGCTGGCCCCTTTTAGGTATTTTTTTGAAGAGTTAACTGAACCACAATACTAAAGTTTTTAAAACTTTGGCTAAGAGCCAGGGTGAGACACAAAATAAAGATACTTACTAGAATCAATAAGGATGTTAAGATGCCAACAACTAAATTGATGATTCGATCCTGAAAGAGAAAAGAGTTTTTGAGCCATATGGTAGATCTATGGCACTTTCAGAAAAGTACACCACCAGGCACTGCATGATTAGAATGAGGAAACAATGACCCTGCCCCTCTCTTTACACATACACAATTGCCAGAAAGGCAAAGTGTACTCCGCCACCAAAGTGGAAAAAAGGTACTCTGGGAAGACAGGGATGTCAATATAAGAAATACTCAAACCTGTAGAGAATTTTTATGAGTTTATTTGAGCCAAATTGATAATTGCCAGGAAGCAAAATCTCAACATATTAAGAAAATGCTCCAGAGAATGCCAGTTTTGCACCTTAGTTTATACATTACAATCAAAAGAGGAGCCGTTAGTGGGTTATGGGTTAATGAAATCTATTTGTGACAGATTAGGGAGGCCGGAGAAAGCAAAGCAGGGAAACCTCTGGGATTGGATAAAAAGTAAAATGGTAGACATACTTGTTTTACATAGGTGAATATAGGATGGTTAACAGTCAACAGTTACCAATGAGGGATTTGTGGTCTCCACAGAGTGGTGCCTCTGCTTTGAGGGGTCTGAAAAAAATTACTTTGACATTCCAAAGGAATGTTGTTATAGATACAAAAAAAAAAAAAAGGCTTATTGGTAAAGGTGAAAACTGACCTTTGTCAGGGAAGATTTCTAGGACAAGACTACCCACCATAAACTGCTTTTAGTTAAAAGTTTTAATTTAGACCATCCTATGTTTGTAAGGCCACCACACAGGCCTCCTGAGATTGTCAGGTTTAATATATGGCCCCTTTTCGTCCACAGGGACAACTAATGTTTCTTGACAGGATAGGACATGTTTTACACTCAAGTCTTTTGAAGATGGAAAAGGATTCGATGGGGAACATTGAGGCTTACAAAAAATCTGTGTGCTATTAGAACGTAGGAGCAGGAGCAAAGAGACGGAGCCCTGGGATGGCCTCCTAGATCCTTGGTGAAATGAACCAGACTGTAGTGATGTTAATTGCCATCATGAGTTTTTTCCAACTTATTAAATGGGGAAAAGTCTTCAATATATAAACCCCCTGACTGCTTTGTCTTTCCCATCCTCACCCCAACAAACCACAATGGTTTCAAAAGCTGATCTAATCCAATCTTAATTTTTACAGGTTAAGGTAGGCCCAGTGAGTGTGGTTAAATAGTGCCTAAAGTCACACAGCAAGTTAGAAGCAACTTCAAAACAGGGTTCCTAAATCAGGTCCTCTGATTAGATTTAGCTTCAGTTATGGGGACTAAAAAAAGTTAAATACTTCACATACATGTTACTAATATTAATTATGCAGATCATATATATGTTTTAAGTTATAGAAGTTGTTTGTAGAGTTCACAGAATAAGGTCATAACGACTTAAGACCTGATGAGCAAACACTACTGTAAGACCAATAAGTACCAAGCAGTCTTATTTCTGAGAAAACTGAGTAATGAATCAGTAATCTCACGGATTGTTTTGGTAAAGTTTTAGCAGAGAACAGCAGGATATGGAATAAACAAAAGCTCGGAGATGGGAAGGGTATAGGAACCAGCACAAAAGAGCAACTGAACCCTCATTTCATAGTGAAAAATAAGAATCCAAAGTTAAGAGGCAGGCAGAGCTGGGAGGCAAGAGTGAAAGAAAGCCAAGTATTATATGGGGTGTGCCTGATCTAACCAAGGACAAGCCTCTGTCCAGACCAAGGCCAGTGCAATGTTACATGGTACAAAGGAAACTGAATACCTGCCACACCCTTTCTAACCTAGGAAGGCTCAGACCATATCTTATCACCGCCTCAGCTAGAGGAGCCTACACAGCACATAGTAACCTGGAATTCCAACCATTTTTTAGAGAAGAGACCCAGGGGCTAATAACTGGTCACTATTATTCCCACACAACACATTTTAAATGTGTGTTTAACATAAATGTGTATATGGACCACTCTACCTTGTGAAAAAGGTTCATCTAAACTCTGATGGTCTACACTGAGAAGTCAAGAGTATCTGCTCCCATCTATAAGCTCCAGGGATTTGCAAAAGCTTAAGGAAGTCTGCATACCTTCCAACATTCCTCTTACCAATAGAAAGAAGCCAGTGAAGATGTTCAGGTGAGAAGTAGCCAAGAATCACTAATCTCCAAACAGCAAGTTGCTGTGTGTGTGTGTGTGTGTGTGTGGGTGTGTGTGTGTGTGTGTGTGTGTGTGTGTGTGTGTGTTGGGGGAAAGGGGGTAATGGTGAGGAATAGTAACTATGCCAGAAGTTTTTGCATATCTTTTCTAAAAGTCCTGGGATGAAATGGTATGAGAGTCAAACAGGGTCAGGGAAATTGAAAACTTGCCCAAGTTCTCAATATCAATGAGTGATGGAGTCAGAATTCAATGCCAACAGAGCAGATTCCATTTATCTTCCTCACTGGAAGAGCAACCTAGAATGCTACTGCTGGTCTAGACAAAGATACCAAGTGGCAGTTGACACCTCAAAAAGCCTATTGGCCAGGTATTACAGTGTTTATCTTCCAGGAATGAAGATTTCCTCATAAGATTGTCGGACTTATCCACGTAAGCTTAACTGGTTTTAATCACTCATGAAAATATAGCTAAACTAATGACTACTACCCTGCTTGCCTTCTAGACAGTTCACCAAATGGAACGCTGAGGCATCTCCATGAATACCGGTTATTCGATTGTTACATCGCAGTCTCTCTGGACTCCCAGGATGGGATGAACTATTTGGCAAAGGGCAGGAGTTTCTCACAGGGTATTTTTTCTCCAAGCCAAGACCTTGGATTCAGACCTTCTGCTATCAAAGTAACTATGAGTCCAGGCCAAACAAACAGTTAACTTTGGAAGACCTCGCACTCTTAGGCTCTTTCTTCTAAATGCTTGCTACCCAAAGTGTGTTCTGTGGGTCAGCAACACTGGCCCCAGCTGAGAGCCCGTGAGAAATGCAGAATACTGGGCCTCACTCCAGAACCACTGAATCAGAATCTGCATTTTACCAACTCCTCAGGTGATTTTTGTGCACTGCTCTAAAGTTTAGATTCTAAATGAAACCATTTTGAATACTGATTAAGTCCAAGTCAAAGGTGAGAGACCTTTCCCTGGGCCTAGAGATTGTTTTTCAGGGCTTTATTAGCTCCACCAGCTCCCGGTCTCCAAAGATAAAAGAATAGAGAACAACTAAACAGCCAATTAATTAGTATTTCAGGAGTTTTAGAATTGATAGGCTCCAAATCAGAAATAGAGCACTTGGGGAAAAGAGACTACTGAATTTAATCGTTGCTGTTAATGGAATGAACTGAAACTCAGATTATTTCCACTAGTATAGCTAGTCCCTATTATTCTAATTTCTCACAGAAACTAGCGCTATCTCCTCCCCAGTTTTATTACCCTTTTCCATCTACCAATACCATTCTCCCTTCCCAGAGCCTTAAACTTGTTGCTTATTTTCACTCCCCAAGGAAGCTTGACAGCATCAAAACCAGCCTTGATCCTTACCTGCAGAGAGGATAAGATAGGGAATCAGGATGTCCTTCCCAAAGACAAATACTCGGCAACAGGTTGAGAGTCTTAACTCATATACATGCAGATCTGAGCACATGAACATAAAAATATACATGTATAGTCTTGAGAAGGATTCTGATATATAACCTCACAAGTTATTTGTTCATTTAAACATTATTTCAATTTTTCAATAAAAGAAAAATCCATCTACTATATTCCAGATGCAAACACACAACAATGAATAAAACTGTCTCTACCTTCAGGAAGTTTACACTATCCAGAGTGCCAGAGGGCACTTCGGAGAAAGGAAGTGAGGTTCCTTGGCCGTCAGGGAGGGAAGAGCAGTAGTAGGAGGAGCCACATCTTCATCTTCCTTTGAAATGGGGAAGGAGGAAAAAATGGACATACATGCAAATGGCTTCTACCTGTCAAGCAAGTAAGGAATACCTTATCTCCTTTTACCAATGGGTAACTAGATTCAATGACACAGGTAATGGTAAGGTCTCCTATCCAATGCTTTATACAAAATGCAAGCCTAACCAGCAGTTCAAAGGTCTAAGAATCCTTACACCAATACAAGTGGTCCCTGAAACTAGAGTCAAAAGACCAAGGTTTTCAATGGCGTTCTGCCACTGGCTAGTTATGTAACTTTAAAAGGATCCCTTAACCCATTTGGGTCTATCAAATCAAATGATCTCTGGTCCCTTCCTGCTTTAATTTATGGCTCTGGATCATCAATCACCACTTGGGCCAGAGGAGAAGGCCAACTCCCCAGTAATCAAAAAGTAGAGGAGCTCCCACCCAATCTTGCTTGGTCAGTCATTAGCCAGCATCTTGCTACAAGACAGCGAACCCCAAACCGATTTCAAATGCTCAGCTGTTTAATGATAGCTTTGGAAGGAAATGGGCAATAACATCCCAAATAACCAAACCAAATAGGCAATGGTCCTCAGCAACCTGGAAACATCCTAATAGTCAGTTTGAAATGCTAAGAAGAGTCATATCATGTTTGGCCTTCTATTTCCACAGCAATTTATGTTTTGCCTCCTTCCAAATGGACTTAAGGACCTGTGCTACTATAGTAAAACTCATAACCCATTTAAGCAACAATAAAAAGAGCAAGAAATAATTTCTAAAGGGGTTTTGGGAATGAAAAGAAGTGTTTACGGGGAAAAAAATTCACTAAAGAAAACTCTTCTGCTTTAAGTTCAAATGTTAGTAGGAAGATTCCTGGCAGCCAAGTGGGATATTCAAGGGGGTTTATAAGTTCTCACTAACAAAAGCAAGCATGCTGGGTCACAAGAGGCAAACTTCCCCTGAAGCAGAGTTTGTTGCCTGGGTCTGCAAATACAGGGACAGAACATGCAGCAATCCATACACAGTAGTTTCTTCTATTGACCCATAGAAAAGCCAAAGGCACAATGTTCCCAAAGGAGTAAGGGGTGGGGTAGGAGGTGCGATGGCTGACATGCCACACTCCCAATGTGACTGCTTAT